TGTGTTTCATGAATAAGTTGAGTTGTAAATATACGTCTGCTTCTCCAGAAAAAGTTTTATTTGTCATGTAGTCTACCTTACACTAGTAACTGTTTTCAGCTTATAGTAAGTCTAACCGTCTGTGAGAGAAGTGCAGTGTATGAAGGATAGTGGTTGACCTCCTTCATTGGTTCATTCTTGCTCAAGACAGGGAGATGCCAGATCTTGTGCTGCCCTTTGATGTGGTAGCAATCAGCTCCTCCAGTTGTGGAGAGCTTGACAAGGCCTACCTGTAACAGCATTGATCAAATGGCACTCTGCACACACCCCTTGTGTCTTAAACTACCAGCCTGATGGAAAACAGCCTGCCTAGATTGTTGCAGTCATAACATATTAAATTTGTGAGAACCTTTGATGGTATAAAATGACACTGGTTTACTGTAATATTTATGGACAAATTAGATAAGTAGCGCGTAAACTGTTGTTTCTTGTCTAGTTATGGGGAGGAATGTGTTGTGTGGTTACTGTCTGTGTTCAGGAAAGTAGTTTTACTTCCTTTAAAAGTGTGGAAGTAGAATATATGGATAAAAAGTGCAAGTCTCTCCGAGTTGAAAAATACCAGATCCAAAGATAAAAGCATTTTGTTCCTTCTAACGTAACAGCAATGACAAAGAAACCTTTCTGAACAAAAATGGCTGACAGAAATTTTTAAAAGTAGTGATGACAGATGAATCATTTGTTACATGAAGTTTAGAAATTCTGTCTTAGTTTTATTGTGCCCAAACCTGTTTAACCATACTACATTTATGACACGCTCTGTCACACAATTACACATTTCTTGATTGTAAGGTTGTGGAAATATACAGGACAGTATACACAATAGCTTCATGTGTCAGGTGGGGCAGTAGGGTAGCCTCATGGTTCAGGTGTTCGTCACATCAATGATCCGGGTTTGATTCCCCACATGGGCACAACAGTGTGAAGCCCTTTTCTGGTGTCCCCCGCTGTGGTATTGCTAAAGGCAGCGTAAAATTAAACTCATTCACTCACTCATGTGTCATGTTGTCATGGTAAAAGCTGTATTCCTTTTTTCTAATGATTTTAGGCATAGCAAAGAAATATTATTTCGTCTTAAGTCTTTCACCAGTGCTTACGTCTACCTTCTTTATCTTTCAAAATCATTAATTTTGTGTTGCTGGTTGAAAAAGAAGGTTGGTAGTATGTTTCATTATTTTTTCAAAACATGAGATACAAACATGACACGTAACATTCTAAAAGCAGGAGTAACATTTTTTCCTCAGCCTATTTTGAGAAACATTTAATCTCACTTAGCTGATACTATGAATGGGTTACATCACAGTGTTTCAGCCATGTTACAATTTGCCCTGACTTCACCATGTCCATGCATCATCCAGAGCGGTGGCGTCCAATTTGTAGAATTCTGGAGGAAGTATTTGGCAATAATGTCAAAACATTAACTACTCCAATAAACACGGTAAATCAAAGTAAATAGCTTACTGCCACAGTTGAGCCTCAGGAAAACATTGCACTCTTTCATTAATCTTCCTGTCACTTCTCCTAGAGCGTTATGCCTTTCCATTAAATCAGTATCGGGTCATGTGAGACGCAAGGGTTGTGGACATGGGTAAAGAAAGTATGTGTGTAGAGTATTCATTGCCATCTATACTAACTCTGCATTCACCTGATGAAGGAGCAGGAATAGGCTCTGAAACGGTGTATAAGGAATAACAAAGAAGTTGTTATCCATAAAAACGTGTCATGTATTCTTCTAAATGCCTTTCAAGAATGCCATCTATACTACTCAAAGTTAACGACTACCCAATTCTTTCATTTTATGATTCAGTATATTTTAGCTAAATCGGTTCATAGTCGGTGCTGCATAGTAACTACCAGTCACTACCAGTCACTACCAGTCACTACCACGACAACAATTTATTGGAGATTACCACTACCTACTTCACATAACTTAATTATTCCCAAGTACCAAGTCCCTGAACCACATTATTTCCCCTACTGCCTAGCCCTCCTTGCAATGCAAAATTAAGCAAATCTAGATTTCGTAAGGTCTGAATTTTCATTTCACTGGGACTCCTTTTCAGTTAAATGAGATTATTTGTTACTGTCAAAATTATATATATTCAGAGACTAAGCGTTAGTCTACCAAGTACCAACCGGCAAAGAAAAATGCCTTCTTTCTTGACAAGGAGATACATTTTCTTACACACCAGTCAACAACTACTGTACACAGATACCTTGCACAGCTGAAAAAAATTAATAAAATAAACAAAATTCTGCTTGCTAAAAGTTAAAAGATAACTTTGCAATCTAATAATGAATTTATTGTGGACTTCTAGTACCCATTTTTGGAGATACACCTCCAATGATTACTAATTCATCTTCAGGCTACTTGTCAACAATTTAATGTTTTCTATAGAGCATTGTTTCTGAAGTGTGAATAAGTGGCCCTTTGTGTGTAATACATTCAACTCCTGTGACTTAGGAGCCTTGCACAGATTACACTGTTGGCAAGCAAAACTGTAACCTTTTGGATTACCTTTCTTCAACCAGCCATGTTTTATTCTCCATTTTCTGTTTATTTTCCTGTCTATTAGTTCCCTTGCCTCTATATTTGACACATATAACAAAATATTGTCACCCTTTTGTTTGAAATCTAATCCGTACCATTCGTCTTTGGTGTACAATATTTTTGACCATGTTCCTGCTGGTGGCCCTTGCTGCTCATTATTATCATGAGAGCCAGCACAGCATGAGGTCATGGCAAGGTCTCTGTGAACTGTTGAAAGATGGCGTCTGCTCCTGCATGTAGCAGTCTGCACACTCATCACAGCGGGGTGGTCATGAATATTGCCTCCATGATGGACACTGGAGGTTTACAAATTTATGGCATTGAGGACAAACATAGTTTCTCTGATTTCTGTTTTCTTTGGAAGAAGCGTTAATGACTTTGCAGAGAAATGTGACCCTCATTTTCAAGTAAATGAGCTGCATTTCTCGATACTCTTTCCCTCCCTCTGTCTTTGGTACCGTTCACTTTTTGCCTTTGTAGTTTGTTGTTGTGTTATTTCTTGAAGTGTTCATCTCGGTGCAGCTTTCTTACATACCTACATGTCCTTGGCCTGTCAAACTTGCAATTGCACTGCTGGCAGACATGTTAAGTATCATCACAGATACATCCATATATTCCCAACTCCAGTGGACTTTATGCTGATGTTATCAATTGAACAATGTATTTTGGATTAATACCTCTGTACTCTTTCATGTGGACAAGCTTTATTGAAAATGAGGGTAGTGCTTGTGTCCGGAGCAGTAATCCAAAACTTTACTCATGAAACTAGCTTTACAGATCAGTTTTTTGGTGAATTGAAAGTTTCCAAAATACTTGACAACATTATTTTTGTCTTGATTGAACTGAAGGTATCCAATGGCAGTATGTCATAAGGGGGATATAACTAGCCAAACACCACTTCCTAATTGGACCAAATTGCAGGAAATGTCACCTGACGACTCTTGTTGATATGAAGACACCATTGTGACACCAGATAATCTGAACAAGGAACATGCCAGAAACATTTGTGTATTTTTCCAATATTTTGATAAAGTCGATATATTAGAGACAATAGTGCTATAAGAACGTAATAAATTTACTTCCGCAGTTAACATCACCGCAATAATGGTTTGGTAAAAGTTAGTTTAGAAATGTGCTGAATGTAAGGTAAGAACAGGTAAGCTTTGATTAGAGGCAAGTCTTGACTGTTCAAACACTGTGTCCAACATGCCGTATTTGTGTATTACCAGGCAAATTAGCAAATGACTTGAGACCCAACAATAAAGTGTTGACATGTCTGTTCTCAGTTTAGCTTTGGTGCACAAGCAACGTATTGGCTGCCAATGTTTGGTTTGATGAACACGACATTTTGGCTAATGAGACGCAAGCAAATTTGTTTAGTTGTCTTCTGGAAATGAGGTTGTAATGTCCCGGTATAGGAGTCGGCAGTGGGGAAGAAAGCACATGTCAATATTTTGTCGTGAGGAAGAGTGACCTTTGAGGTCACACGTTCAGTTTCCTGTTGATTTCTTTGCAACGTTTACTAGTAGAAATAAGATTTACTTTCTTATGTGTTTTGCTTCATGCAAGTCCAGAAGAGACTGACATTGGATTGTATATACTGAGTGCCCTTGGCAGTCAAACTGGGAGAATATTGGTGTTTTGTTTTTGATTGGATTTTTTATTTTAAAGTTTTATTTTGGGTCATTTTAACATTTTTACACAGATGATGAAACTAAACATTGATGGCTTTTTATGTTTATTATTGACATGTTATCAATAACAAACAAGCCACCTTGAGAAAGCCATCACATCAGTTATAATAAAATAAACTGAGAAATTTTAATTCATATTTGTAAATTTGTACTGACAAGTAGGTGTAGATTAATCCCTTGTGCAGTGTTTCCTGGGATCCTCCAGACTGGCTGATGGTGTTTCAATCCTGACGCTCCCTGTAACATTGGGGTGATGACAAGGAGCCCAGTACATTCAAACATACAAGTGTAACATGTTTTCAGTGAGAGGTCATTTGAAATATATTTTCTAAAGTCAGACAGACATTATTTGGCTTGTCATTACACAATGTCAAGTTTTGTTTTGCATCAAGTATGTTGTCAGTTTTGTTTTGTGAAGATTTACAATGTGTTTCTTTAAAAGTTAGTCTGTCACCTGATTCTGTATATTTGTAGTTAATGTCCATTTGAAAAATATACCAGCTTGGTATATTCTTGAAAGCTTTTTAATTTCCTAAGATTAATTAATTATCTAAACACTTTAATTTGATTGGCTTAAAATTGCAGTCTACTTTATATTCCTTGTTGTGATTGGCTGTAGGTGTTGAGGGTTGAGGAGTGTGCCAGTCTATTTTTAGCTGGGCATCTGATTAATGGAGACCACATGGTGTGTGCGAGAGAGCAGAGCGGCAGCACTGCTGGCTACCTCTGACAGTCAGACAGAGAGGAGCATCTACACATTCCACTGCTACTGCAGCTAGACTGGTGCTTGCTGGTTGCAGGTCCTCTCCCCCACACACCATACTGACAAACTAGCACTGCAGAATAGCCGGAGCTGCCTTACTTTTATACATACACCGGCTCAGTAGTGTTGGGATACACCTCCTCCGCACCCTCCTCTCATTGGCTGACAGTGACGACAGTCCTCTCAGGGCAGCCCGACCATCTCAGCAGCTGTAGCAGTCAGCTGTGGACTGCCCATCGGGATAGTACTGTGTTCAGCATCCATGTGTTATACAAGCGACTAGCCTCACCGGCTTGTCCCCACCGCCCTGGACAACCTGGGTTATGGTACTGTAAGCTGGCCAGTGCTAGTAGCCTGCTGCTGCTACTGCTGCAGGACAGTTCACGCTGTCACCCAGGACACCTTCCACCATTCAGGCGGCGTCCACGGCAGGCAAGTCGTCACAGCAGCGACGGCGACGGCAACAACAACGACGAAAGGACACTGCTAAAAGTCTGGCTGCTGCTACAACCGTCAGTAAAAACATGGCCTGTCTTGTCCAGAATACGTCTAATGTGGGTGAGTGGATCCTTCAGGCCGGCTACTGGCTTGCTACATATCACTTTTCACAACATTCCTAATGGCTTCTGGAGGTGAAGCTGACTTCCTCTGCTCTGCTCATCTTCATCCCGTACATCTGTCCATGTCCGTCTGCAGTGTTACAACACAACTTCTTTAATATTTTACTTCTAATTTCATATCACTTACTACATATGTGTACCAAGTGATAGGGATGTCAGTGATTGGAAGTTTCAGTATCAACATATCCCCCAAAATGTTTTCTGATGTATTGTGTCAATAATAGCAGGATATTACAGACTGTATTTCTAAGAGAAGAATATATGTGTTTTCTTGTGACAAAGTTTAAGATTGTTATTAATATTTTATGATTACCATGTTTCTTTAACATATGCCTTTGCAAACATGTCAGGAGGCACATTGAATCAATATGTTGATATGATATTTATTGCATAGCTATCCATGGAGAAACAATGGCAATATTCCATAAACTACAAATATATGCACATTAGGTACAAAACCACACATATATATTACACAAACAGCTGAGGTTCATATTGGTTGAAGTTGATATTTTAATATTCAGGGAATTTCTTATTTGAACAAAAAGTCATTATTCTAACATTCGAAGTTGTCTTATTGATCATCACTAGATTTGTATGACACATATAAAGATCTTATTCAAATATGAATAATGACACAACATATAAAACTGCATGTCATGCATAAGTTCATCTGTATTTGCCATGCTTGTCTCACAAACAGCAGGGATTTTTAAAGAAAGTTTTAACCTAGTAAACTGAAGTAATAAAAATGTGCCTGTTTGCAAAGCACCGAGGAACATGACACTCTCCAGCTGTTGCACGAGTTGTCCGAGACGATGGAGTTGCTACTGCTTCAGTAGATAACCTGTAATATTTAGGGGGAGTTACGCAGGTTTATCACCTCCCCCACCCAAGGGAGATGATGCTGTGTGCTTACTATTCATTATGCCTCTATCTGCTGTTTATAATGTCATCTTCACATCATAAACACAGAAGTATTGGGACGGGTCTCGCTGAGTGATGAATGAGAAAGATGCTCTGCTTCATAAATCAGATACGGGTTCAAATGGTGAAAACATTATTTTTCCCTAGTGAATATAGAGTTATGTCAGTTTGATGTGTATAGATGGTAGGATATGGTGCACCTTGTATCAAGTGTAGAAGAAAAGTAAAGAAATGTTTAGATTAATGACTAGGAAGAGTCTTCCTGTTTCCATCATTTCTACCATAATTCATTTGCTCTTGTATATAAGTGGTATCTTTCATCACATGGACGTAACTACAGTGATGCACTAGGATTGCAAATGATGAGATTTATATTTGGTGTGATGTAATCTTATTTACACTGTCTGAAAGAATACAGTGAATCCAATACAACATTGTTTTTCTCCATCTTACATCTTGTAATCTGTTTTACTGGATAGTCAAGATAGGATATTCTTGTATTATGTATTATCAAAATATGTACAGGAGTAGACTGGAAGTTTTCGACGAGTACTGTACATTTTTGTCTGTCATTTCCGTAGAGACATTGGTAGTAGCTACCAGACACTGGGTATTAGTGGCTTGGTTCTGCTGACTAGCATGGGTTTTGAAAAAAGGCTGCTTGGAGCTTGATCATGACAGGATTCCTATACTTATTTCATGGATAGTTAGGTTTTGAAGTGAGCATGTCTGTTTGATGGTACCTTTGAAATTACTATAATTGTTTTTAAGAACATATCATAAATGATGTGGGTTTTTTGGAAGGGAAGCACATACTTGGCACCTAGTCAGCTTTTGGAGGGCTACGTATGTGTGCTTTGATTTATCATGAGTTCCAGAGAAAGGAATGGTACTATGTTTTATCTGTCGGCAATGTCAAGACCACTCTGACATCACTGGAAGGCTTCCACAGACAGTATCATTAAACCAGAGTTTATGATTAAGATTCATCTGCATTAGGAGTTGCTTTTTGTGACTACCAATTAACAGATTCAGGAGCCATCAATCATGTGGATATGTTTTTGTGGTCACTAATGCATTCATGTTCCTGCTCCGGTTCAAACTGGATGTGTCAAGGAGAAGGATTCAGTTTCATGCAGTTTGTGTTGAAAGCGTTGAAAAAAATGGTTTGATTATTCCGACTCTGGTTCCAGAGTAAACCCTGGCTTGCTCCCTTTGTGAAAACCTATGCATTACTAGTGCCAAGTTGATGTAAATGGGGTCAAACTTTATCACAGTGTTCAATGTATTTATCCTAAAACAACCTCGACATGACACGCGACAGAGATCATCCATCTTCTGACGTTTAGTTTTTATGCCAGCAAGGATGTCTTCCACATTCATGTTCTGGTTCATACTCCAAATGTCAAGACTTCACTTTCACCAGTTTTCAGTTTTAAAAAATGTTATCTCTCTGTAACGGATCAGCTGAAGGGGAAGATGACATATGTAAGCAAATCCTGGATGAACGTGACACACTTGCAGGGAAGGGATCTGGCCATGATAGTTTTACCAGGGAGAAGGCTGGGAGATGAGATCAACTGGGGACAGGGTGTAACGCACACGCACAAAAACACATGCACATGCATTACATGCACTGGCAGAAGAATCACTGGTCCCTTAATACAGATGCAGGGTGAAGTCATTTCGTCCAAACAAAGGCAATTTGGTGATGTTTCTGTCAAAGAATGTCTTCAGTATGTGAAATTTGACTGATTCTGTGATGTATTGATGTATAAAGCTTTACTTTATTATGTGTTGATGTTTCAAATTTTACTTTTGCATTTGTTGTAGCAAATTCTGCTTTTGGGATGAGAAATGTTACAAATAAATGATAAGGATAGTTTAAAATAATTTATAGAATATATTTGTGGTGGAGACTGAGCAAGCAGTATTCATGGTCAATAACGTTCTCTTTAAGTGTTCGTCAGGTTTTACATGTGTGTTATCAAATTTTGCTTTGGTACAGGATAATATTACAAGTTCTACTAGCACATTTTGATGAGATGATAAGTCAAGTGTTACGTCTTGGTTTGTAGTGTCAAGCATTTCCATAATGGTGCATTTTAAACAATCATTTTTTACATAAAGCACTTTTTTATTTACCATTTTGTCCATATGTTCCTATATCCATACTGTTTATAAGAATGCTATATTTATAAAAATCGGTTTGTTTAGAAAACAAGAATTTCCATAAGTTTACTGCAGCATTTGAGAATTAAATTTAAAAGTTACCTTTTTTAAATAAATCTTCTAAAATTAACTCCAATTCAAGCAAAAGGTTTAATGTTTATTTGAATGAATCATATTTCAAATAACACACAAACAACAGTCATTGCAATGTGTTGATAATGATTGCCTAAGAACAAGCTGTGGTTATATCACAGTATAGCTTGTGGAGAATCAGTCGTGACAGCCCCACCAGCTTGACACAGATGGAGTAATGACTGAGCATCACATGTCAAAGCTCGTATTACACACAAACCAATCAGCTGATAACACAGAATGAAACTCTTGATTCCACAGAACCTGGTTACACACATGCTTCAACTCTATGACTGTATGATATGATGTGTGGGTTATAGACACAATGTGTGTGTGTGTGTGTGTGTTTCGCAGGCAGCTGTGCATGTGAGCAAGAAGATAACCCTTGAAACAAAACACACTAATATTAGACTGCAATCATCTATGTTTTGAAATGGATACTGCTTCCATTCAGATTACTACTGCTCTTTCTCTCCGTAACTACAGGAGTTTATCAGGGCTTCAACAGTGGGTTTGTGTGCTGGGGGAGGTTGTGATGACTTCTAGCGGGTAGTAAAGGCAGGATTGGCTCATTTAGCAGCCTTCTAAACATAGCAGTTCAGATTTAATCAAATCTCACTCACCTCAGTCACATTACATCGTCGGGATCAATCCAGGAAATCTAATTTGGCAGCAAAAGTTTTGTTACTGCATCTTATAAAATAAAAAATAATCATTAAAAATTTTGTCATGGGTTGGCGGAGTTTATCTGACCGACTTTCCTGGAGGGTTATTCTTTGTTAAAGGGAGCGAGAATATGGCTTTGTGCTGTTTTTGGCAGTCTTGTGATAAAATATCATTCAGTTTAATGTGGTATTGGGAAGCTTGCATTATTTGAATGAATTTCTTTGTTCACACTTGTCAAGAGTTGAAACTACTAAAGTCATAACACAGTTGGGTGTGTTATTGGGTGTTCTGGTGTGTTATCACCATTGAATACTGGTCCAGGAATTGTATCTTCTATAATCGTGATGACAAGCTGGGATGTATTACTGGGTGTGTTATTGTGTGTTCTGGTGTGTTATTACCATTGAATACTGGTCCAGGAATTGTATCTTCTATGATCGTGATGACAGGCTGGGATGTATTACTGGGTGTGTCTTTAAGTTATCTGTATGTAGGTAGTTGTTAACATTGGTCCAGGAAATGTTGGAACTCCCCATGCCAGGGTCAGCTGTGTTACCGGAGGTTGTTACTGGAGGATGTTTTGACCACTCCTGACCAGAAGGACATCCACAAGTCAGCTGCACAGTTTACTACTCACAGCCTCATTAATTAACATGGCTGCTTGATTGGTTTCTGTGGATTATGTTCTCCCTGTGCTTTGATCTCTGTTCCTGGTCTAATCTGAGGGCATGGGACTTCTGGGGTGGGAGGGGGGGAGGATGGGCTCTCCTGGTGGGAGAGGGTGGGGGGCCTTCTGAAGCTCCTGGGTTGGGAGGAAGGGTGGGGGGAGTTAATGCCAATACAGGATGTATGGACAAGGTTAAGTGTTCTGTGTTAGTGGAACAGTTTAAGAGTGACCAAAAGAAATGAGTACAATTGCAGCTGTCCTTGTGAAACCAGATGGTTGAAGGAGAGTTTTGTGAGTATTAGATGAAGTGCCGTTAGAGCTATCTGTAATGGTGGGAAACAGAAGGTGTTTCTTTCCAGGGGATACTTAAGAAA